TTTTTTGTAGTTTTAGTTATTTTAGTTCTTCAACTTAAACTAAATGAAAATGAGAAAAGTTGAAAAAAAAATGAGAAAAATGAGAAAAATAAATACTTTCATTCATCAAGGATGCATTAAATTGATCAAAAGTGACAGTAAAGACATTTCTAATGTTGCAAAAGGTTTCTATTTCAAATAAATGCTGTTCTTTTGAACTTTCTATTCATCTGTGAATCCTGAAAAATTAAACGCATCACGGTTTCCGTGAAATATTGTGCAGCACAGCTGTTTTCAACATTGATAATAATCAGAAATGTTTCTAATAATCAGCATATTAGAATGATTTCTGAAGATCATGTCACACTGAAGTAATGATGCTGAAAATACAGCTTTGATCACAGGAATACTTATTTTACTGTATTTTTTATCAAATAAATGCAGCCTTGGTGAGCAGAAGAGACTTCAATCTTAGCCTGGAAGCAGTCAGTGATCTGGTCAGCACTCAGCAGACAGAAGTTTGTACCTTAGTGAAGGTCAGGCAGTCTTTGTCCTGGTCTTTGTCTTTGACCTCGAAGTCGTAGAGTGCTTTCCCCTGCGGCGGCGTCTGGGACAGCGGTCGGATGCACTGGATGTAGCTCACCGGAAGGAATCCGTGGCTGCCGTTTAGCTCGCCGTGGAACCAGTTCTCGTCCACCTTCCGCCGCAGGATGATGATATCACCTTTGCTGAACTTCAGGTCGCCCGCTTCTTTGCCCTCGTAGCTGTAAAGGGCTTTTCCACACGGCAGCTGAGGAACGTTCTGGAAGACGCAAAGACAAAGACAAGAGACTGCGGTCAGAAACTCCGTTTTTTTCACCCTTTGACAAACATAAGAAGTTTTTAGCACTAGTGCAAGGCTTTTATCGTTAACAAAAACCCATTAATTAAAATAATGTAAAATATTAAAAACTTCAGTTAGTTTCCAGGGCAAACATTTCTTATTTTTGTTAAGTTTTTAATGAAACTAGTTTATAACTGCCCATTTTTGTTAGGTATATAGCTAAAACTAAATAACAAAAAAAAAACTATATAGAAATATAAAAAACTATAAAAATGACAGAAACCCACAACAAAATGACAAACCATAAAATATAAAAAAGAAATGTAAAAAAAGACAAAAAAATCTTAATTCAAAATATAAACAAAAACTATAATAGTATATCAATTATACAAACTACAACAAAGACTACACAGAGATATTATTAAAAAATGATAATGACAAAAACACAACAAAATGACTAAAACTTTAAAATATAAAATCAATTAAAAAATATAAAATACAAAAATATCTAACAATATAAATATAATATAAATATAAAAATATAAAAGTTCAAAATATAAACAGAAATGATAATAGTATTTCACATCTAAAAACTAAAACAACAAACACTACACATAAAAATAAAATTAATAATAATGACAAAAAATACACAAGAAAATGACTAAAACTTTATAATATATAATATAATATAGATAACATATCATATAAAAATTAGTGCTGTCAAACGATTAATCGCATTCAAAATAAAAGTTTTTGTTTACATAATATATGCATATAATTTATGCATAATAATAATACAGCGTATATTTACATGTATTTACGTGAATATATTTATATTCATATAAATTATATCCTATATAAATATATTTAACACATAAACGTAACATTTTTTCTTAAATATATACATGCATGTGTGTGTATTTATATATGCATAATAAATATACACAGTACACACACATATATTATGTAAACAAAAACTTTTATTTTGGATGTGATTAATCGCGATTAATCGTTTGACAGCACTAATAAAAATATATAAAATATAAACATTATACATGTATATATGTGTCAAACCTCACAGATCACAGATTTCTACCATCATCTGTACTGTCGACTCAAACACAGACTCTTGAAACAGTTTTAAATGATTAATAAATCAAAAACAAACACTAAACCCCTGAAAGTCTCTCTGATAGTCCTGATTATGAGCCATTAACCTGGTAAAATCACTGTAAAACCTGACTTGAGTGGCTTATTGCTTTAATGCAATAATGAATAATGTAGACTGTAAATACATGAGTCAAACACTAACAAACCAAACTTGTTCCAAAAGGTTTTGAATGAATCGCTTGAATGAATGACAGTCCCTTGATTTGTTCTTTCATTAATCAGCTTTTTAAACAAAACAGTTCAGTGAATGTTTCAATGAATCACTCATAAAACCAGCCACTTGATTCGTTTCTGAATAAATCATCAGGTTTGAATGTATCGTTTGAACGAATGATTCAATGATTCAATCGTAAAAACAATCATTTGATTCATTCTTTAATGCATCAGCGTTTTCTACTAATCAGTTCACTGAACAATACAATGATTCAATCATAAAAACAATTGCTTTTTTAATTTCAGAATAAATTGTCAATTTTAAATGAATCATTTGAATGAATGATTCAATGACTCATTCATTAAACCAGTCACTTGATTCGTTCTTTAATGAATCAGCATTTTAAACGCTAAGTTCAGTGAATGATTCAATGACTCACTCAAAAAAGAGTCACTTGATTTATTTCTGAATAAATAATTGGGTTTGAACGAATCACAGGGCTTGTCAGTATATACACTGAACAAAATTATAAACGCAACACTTTTGTTTTTGCCCATTTTTCATGAGCTGAACTCAAAGATCTAAGACTTTTTCTATGTACACAAAAGGCCTATTTCTCTCAAATATCCGCCGATCCAGAGCATCCCAAACATCTCATGAAAAATGGGGGCAAAAACAAAAGTGTTGCGTTTATAATTTTGTTCAATGTATATATACTGTATATTATATATATAATATACTATATATATATATATATATATATATATATATATCATTTCATTGTTCATGTTTTCATGTTTTAATGACTGACTGAACCTGTAAAGAACAATTACAGTCCTCTAAATTACTCATGTTTAATGAATTCACATACTGAGCCACTTCTATGTAATTATGAGCTCTTGATTTAAGAATATGAAGCCGTGTGCTAATCAGTTTGATATTTAGATGAAATATGATTCATGTTCAGGCAGGCAGGTAGTTGTGCAAACAAGTGATTATGACGCTGAAGAAACTGTTCAAACACAACGATGATTGTATTTTAGATTCTATTCTAGTGATGGTTTGGTCCTCTGGTCAGGAACTAGTTAGTAGTCAGATGAGTGGAATACAATGGAGACATCATGTCAGAATATTAAACATTAATAACGAGGAGAAAATGAATGTGTAATCAAACGGAAATAGGTCATCTGTTTAAAGTGACAAATGACTCCGTTAATATAGAAGTGATTTAAATGTTCAGGTCAGAAGAAAAACAAACTGGCATGAGACGATCTTCATACAAAACATGCTTTATCTTCACTAGTACAGTCATTTATAACTCATATATGGGACTAATTCAATAATGAGACCGTAAACTGGGTTTTAATGGATGGATTAACTTTTTTATTCTATTACGAATAATATTAGTTTAATAAGCGATAGTCACCGCTGAAAACAAAGACACAATTACACGTGAATTAAAGCTCTGAATGAACATCAAGCGACTCTCGACTGCGACGTGAGACCATGTTCAGTGAGTTTTTAATGAAATCTGACTCTCTGAGGGCTTTTCTTTCCTCGAGTGGCCCGGAACGCCACATCCAGACGGGATTAACCAGACACCAGCTTCCCAAAGAAATGAAGACAGCTTATTCCATTCAACACAATCAGTTTACAGGCTTATTTGAGCTCCGCAGCATCACTGCAAGCGTTTTAACAGTGACGCAGCTTCATGACCGTGATTTACTGTGACTTAAACCACAGATCACTGCGGATGAGCTTTAATGCATTATTATATGTCAGAGAAACTCCTCATTAATCAGAGACTCTGATGTACTGTTTATATGCCCTGGACTGACAGGGGTTCAATTCCCAGGCAATGCATGAGAACATATAATAACTTTAATGCAACGTAAGGCGCTTTGGATAAAACTGAACACAATGCAACTTTAAAAGTCAAAAATTTATAAATTGACACTCAAATTACTGTCTTGTCAAATCAAACCATAAAGTGCATCAAAAAGTGTTTATTCATTCATTATTTAACAGCATATAAGCAATAGCAATTACACTACTGGTCAAAAGTTTTTTTTGCAGCTTAACATTAATAAAAAGAAATTTAACTAAGACTTTTATTAAGCAAGGACGCATTAAATTGATCAAAAGTGGCAGTAAAGACATGTATAATGTTCCAAAAGATTTCGAATTAAAATAAATGCTGTTCTTTTGAACTTTCTATTCATCTGTGAATCCTGAAATCACGGTTTCCACAAAAATATTGTGCAGCACAAGTGTTTTCAACATTGATAATAATCAGAAATGTTTCTTGAGCAGCAAATCAGCATATTATACTGATTTCTGAAGATCATGTGACTCTGAAGACTGGAGTAATGATGCTGAAAATACAGCTGAGCATCACAGAAATACATTACAGTTTAACAGATATTCACATAGAAAACAGCTGTTTTACATTCGAATAATATTTCACAATTTTTACCGTATTTTTAATCAAATAAATGCAGCCTCGGTGAGCAGAAGATACTTCTTTCAGAAACATTAAAACAACGTAATTGATCCAAACTTTTGATTGGCAGTAATGAATATAAATTTCTATTTTGTAAATGCATGTTATAGATCTTATTGTAAACATATTCATCAGTGCAAATGTTTTAATTGTTTGTAGTGTCTACTCAGAATTTCAAAACTAGATCTTGTAATGGTGTATTACTCAAACTCCGCCCCTGCAGCTCACACTTATTTGCATACACCTATGAGAGCCACACCCACATTCTCAACATCCAATCAACTAACTGATGCACAGAGCCAAACGCCGCCTACATATTTTCTTTTCAATAACCAGTTACACTCAGATAAACATCACAATCTGTCACTGCTTCAGTTTTATGATGACTGCACGTCTGTCTCCGTCTGCCAATTCTGTACAATTTACAGTAAAAAAACAGCAGCTGTGGTTGCCAGAATTTTACCGTAAAAAATACGGTAGCAACATTTTAGGTTTTACGGTTTTAACTTAAATTTACATTTAAATACCGTAATTTTTAGGTTTTACGGTTTTAACTTAAATTTACAGTTAAATACCGTAATTTCATTAACTGATATAATGTTAATATACCAACCTATTGAAGTATTGAAATCTGTTTTGTACCTTTGTAATACACTGATAACCACCAAATGCAGGTGGTGATGAGAGTCACATGATGAACCAAAGCCCATCACAAGCAGCTTTTAAATAATAACATATATAGAAGGTGCACAAACACTAAACACCATCATGGTAACCCACGTGAAACTGAAATAATGCAATACACATTAATTTAACAACATTAGGTGTAACACACAACCCTAATATACAAAACTGATAAGAAAAAAATTAAGAAACATAGTTATTTCAACAAAAAAACATCAAATTTGAAATGTAATCAGTGTCCTGACACACACATATAGCACACGCAACGGCTCTGAGAACAGATCCGTGTGTTTGGATGAGCGTCTGACGTGGGCGACTGCGTGTGTGTGTGTGTGTGTGTGTGATCAGATGAAGAGAATCCTACAGAGATGCATGAATTGAGCGTTGGAGTCATTCGCTGCAGCTCTATTTCTCTCTGTTGGACTCGTGCCGGAAAACAACCTACACTACACTACACTACAAACTCAA